AAAAATCTTATTTTTGAGATGGATATTTGGATTTAAGTTTGAAAGATACGTAATATCTAACATGGAGATTACGAATATGAAAAAAAAATTAAGAAAATAGAAATAATAATTCTATTAAAAAAGCATTTGGACCGTTAGTTTCCATTGTGTTTAAATGGATTTGAGATGGATGCAATACACTTCTGGACCGCATATGTAGAAACTTTATCCAGCCCGCATGAAACAATTTTTCTTTCCTAAAATCTCTCAAAGTACATAGATTTTTTTTTATATTTTAATTTTTTTAACTCTAAAATATTGTCTAGAAATAAAATTCTCTTTTATTCTTACAATATATATCCTATGCTTGCAGAACATAGTATAGATACATAAAGAAGGAGTTTGATAAGAAGAGCAACCTTAAAAAAAATATTATTAAGTTTTTAGTATTTTTTTATGGGAAAAATATCTTCATATCCCCTGTTTTTAAGTTTTATTTCTCAATACACCTAAGGTTTGAAAATATATCTTGGGGCATAAAAATCTCAAGTATTGTATCTTCCAACCCTTTGAACTAATTTTCTCTATTTTTTAGACCAAACAAATCTTAGAATGACACACCCTTTCTAAACCCACATTCTCTCTTCACTTCCCCCAAACTTCTCTCTCTTCCCTCGTGATTGTCTCCAAATCCCCCAATTCTCTCTCTCTCTCCCCGTGTTTCCCTTACCCACTCTCTTTCCCCGTGTTTCCCTATACCCACTCTCTGCCTTGTGTTTTCCCTAAACTTCTCTCTCTCGCCCCATGATTTATCCCCAATCCCCCCAACTCTCTTTCTCCCTCTATTTTCCCGTACCCACTTTTCCTCCCCTGTATTTTTCTAAACTAAAGAAGCCACATCTTTCTCTCTCTACAACCCAGTCATGACAGTAATCCAAATAATAAACACTACCCTCTCTCTGATTTTCAATAGCTTCGCTTCCCCATTGTAGGAAACCAAAAGTCTCTCTGATCTTCAATAGCTTTATGCAACCTAGCCCAATATCTCGATCACAATAATCAAAATAAAAAGCACTACTCTCTTTTTGATCTTCAATAGCTTTGCTTCTCCATTGCAGGAAACCAAAAGTCTTTCTGATCAGTTTTTAGTATTGCAGAAAACCAGAAGCCTGACTTTCTAAACAACCCTCATTGCTGCAAACCAAACATGTCCACTTGATCACTGCAAACCAAAAACTCCTCGTCTTCTTTAACTTTTCTATCAAGAACTGTAGCAATGGCTTCCAATGGTGCAGATGTGGCTTCAACCAGTCAACATCAAAGCCTCATCCTTCTCCATCTCCCCTACGAAATTTCGTAAATTTTAGTGATGGGTGGAGCTGGGATCATTGGCTCCCACTTAGACAGAGGCTTGTCGTTCTAAAAAGGTAACACCCTCCCATTTTTGCATATGCATTGTTGGGGATCTTTTACGGGTACCAAAAAACATTGTAGGGGGAATTCTCATTCAAGTTGGTTTTTTATTGTAGTCTTGATTAATAGATGGCAAGTGTTGAATCTGGTTTGAAAAAAGAAGATACATAGGTTCAAGGCTGATGATATCAATTTCTCTGGTGTTCTTAGTGCTTGTGCAACTATAGATACCCTTTCTCAGGGTTCACTGATCCATACAAAATACAAAAGTTTAGAAGAGGCCTGTAAGGTCTTTGGTGAAATGGTTTATAGGGATTTTATCTCATCAAATTCTATATTCACAACTTACAAACAGAATGGAGATGATATGGAAATATTATCACACTGCAACCGGATGCTTTCTTATGCCATGAAGCTCGATGAATGGAAGTGTTCTTAAGGCCTGCTCTGGGCTTCACAGATAGAGAGAGGGAGGTTTGGGGAACCATGAGGGAGAGAGAGAGTTGGGGAAGTATGAAGAGAGAGAGAGGGATTTGGGGAGAATCATGGGGGGGATAAAGAAAAAGAGAGACAACGGTGAGGAATATCACGGTTAAGAGAGAGAAAGGATATATGCCTTTCTAAGATTTGTTTAGGCTAAAAAAAAAGATAAAGGAGGGTAAAGTTGGTGTAGGGGTTTAGAAGATATAATAGTTGGGATCTCTATGATTTAATATATGTTTTGAAATCTTGGGTTCATTAAGAAATAAAACTTAAAAACAGGGGGTATGAAGATATTTTTCCTCTTTTATGCACCATCCATATCATATTTATGAACAATATATTTCAGATAGAGAAATGATACGATGTAACCATTGTATCTTAATATAATGAAACGGTGTAGTGGCTATCTTCAGTCGTACAATCTACTTTAACCTAATAGTTTATATATAGACAACAAAAAAATATTTTTTAATCTAAATTTCAAATTTTGAATTTGAAATCAAATTTCACGATCAAATTTGAATCCCTCTTTACTTTCTTCAAATCTAACCACCTTGGTCTCTCTACGTGAGGACATGCTCTCTCCCTCCATTGTGGCCAGAGCACCGAGGGCTCTCTCACTGTGGAATTCTTGGAGAGAGAAAAGGTACAGAGTGATTAGAGGAGTCCACTTCAGGGAAGCGAAATGAGAAGGGATATCGTGAGAAAAAGAAAGAGAACAAGCTTTAGAGAGAGAACTTGAATCATAAGGGAATACGTGGTGTTCCTTGCTATCAGTGGCACCTCAGTAGAGCCTTTGTTCCGTCTTTGGCCCTAAAAAACTCGTTGTCTGGCACCCATTGGCGAAGCTTGAATCGGAGGATGATTGAATTGCTAAGGGAAATTTGGGCTTCAACTAATAGTGGGCCTGATCCTCTGGAGTCTCAGAGCGATAGGCATATAATGAAAGAGAGAGAGAGAGAGAGGAGATAGAAGATGAATTAGAGCTACATTCTCCTTCAATCCATGCTTCCACCATATTCCAAGGTGCCGTGTATTTTTATAGCAGCAAAAGCCCTATTTCGTTTATAGCAACAAAAGGTTGAACTTTTTAATGGAAGTATGTGAATATGCCTGAGCTTCTTGGGTTTCTTTCACTTTCTCTCTATCTAAATTTATGTCCCTTGGGAAGAGCTCGAAGAACAATATCTATCTAGCTTTCTCTTGTTCTGGAAATCATTTTGTCCAATAGTTTACAAGAATCCTTAGTAAATGAAAGAGTCACTTGATGTGTTTGACTGGTTTAAATGTGCTTGTAATGTCTACAGCTTCTATATAGCTTTGCCTCTCCAAGGGAGCACTTAACTCAAAGGATATTAGTTAGAGTTGAAGGTTGAAGTGTTGTTTTATTTCAATTTGTTTTTGTTTTCATTCATTACAATGGATTTTCACTACAACTTATTCTTGAATTACAAATCAATGGCTAGAAAGTACTTAGGATCAATTGCAGTGATTATGTAACTCAAAAAATATGTTATTTTATAATCAATTACTGTTGTTTCTGCTGCCATTTTTACAATAGAAAAATTACCATTACATTCTTGTTTTGATGACATTTTCTTCATCTCTATTACTCTTAACTGTATCTTAATATGTGCTCATGTCTAGAAAATGTTTGGATAGAATTTAGATTAATTCACATGAGCAATTCACATTGAAATTAAATTTACTTTACTGTTGTTTTTGTATCATAAAAGGTAGCAGCCTTTTCTTTGATTTTGATCAACAGCAATCATCAAATGCTAAGGGAAAGAAATTATGAGGCGTCACCCACCTGCTCAATTATTGGTTTCAAGTGTATCAATAAAGGACTTTTAGACTAGTAGTTATCAATTGGAATTCATTTCCAGACTTCTACATTACTCAATCTGTTGAATGAATTCTCATTAAAAATTTGAACTTATTATGTTTGAAATTATGTGGTAGGGAATAGCAAGGAAGCTTCTTAGGGAAGCTGCTAAGGTGACATCTAAGAAAAGAAGTTGATGAGAATAGGTGTGCACATTTGATTGCAACTTTACAAGAAAAGGAAAAATGAGCTCGCATCTTGTCCAATGCTTGTAATGGCTTGTGAGAAAGCAGTGGAGACTTTGTCTAACATGAACCACCTAGATGAAAACTGCCCATTGTATTTGTATCCTTTGGTTACTGAAGTTAGAGAAGAACATTATGTTCCCTTTATGAAGCTGATGTCTTGGTATCACTGCTTTCACAGTCAATGCATTATTAGGTCGTGGAAGTGGCTCCAAGAGGAAAACAGAACCAGAACCTTGTCAAGTTACTTCTCAACAACATCTTCGCCTCTTTCTATAGATTTGGAGGGAGAGGGAAATGCTTCAAGAGAAGCTCAGAACCACTTGCAGCTGAAACTCACAATGTGGGGAGATAATGAAGAATAGAGCTCAAAGAGCCGTGCTTATGAGCTCTAAGCTTAATAGGCCTGGGTCAAGTGTGGATACTGGATTCATGAATACTGCAAACTCTAATGAGAGAATGAACAGAGCTCATAGAGCCCATAAGTGGAACCCGAAGATGAATGGAAAACTGGATAATAAAGGAATTGAATTCCATTGAGTGAATTCAATGAATATTTTCCTTGGCTATCATCGAAATCAAATGGCATCACCCATACATGTTTCTTTTTACTTCATGTCTTTTCAACTTTGGTGGCAATCATTTGATTCATTTGATCTTTTAATTAATACGATCTATGTAATCCATTGTTTCCAAGACAGTATCGACAAGAGTCATAGTGATTAGTTGGAATAATATTCAGTCTCCATTAAACGAATTGGATATCTTTTACTTATTCAAAGCCATTCTGCCTCTTCTCTCCTAATATGCGATTGACCTTTATGAATTCTCTACATAAATTCAAAGCTCCTTACAAAGTAACAACCACAATTTTAAAGCTTATTGCAAAGTAACATCCATTCTTTACAAAGCTCCTTGTTTATTTTTATATATATCTATTGTGAATAATGCCTTCTATTCTAATGAACTTTGAATTGGGTTCTGAGTGGATAATGAATTCAATAAACACCGGTCTAAACAATTTGGAGAGAGAGAGAGAGAGAGAGAGAGTTAGAGTTGTGATCTCAATGCATTTTCCAATATTAATGAATACATCCAACTATTTTGAGACAGAAACATAGAATTGAAATTACAAGAATCTCTTTATCTGATCTATGCTATGCATTATAAGAAAAGTGACCCCAATATGAAGCCTCCTCCAAGCCCAAAAAGCCCACCAACCATACCAGCCAGTATTCTACCATGCTCACACCCACAAAAACAAGAACCTGTCATAGGGTAAGTATGTGGTGCTAATGAGAGATCACAAGTTCCACCCAAAGAACAATTTCCTGAGAATAAGAAGTGGTGCTAATGAGAGATCCTTCAGTTCTTCTTGATATGTTGACTTTCATGAGACCAAGATATTACCAAAAGAGCAACTTCCTGCAACATGCAATTAGATTTTATACTTGAGATTACAAAACCAATTTACAAGAATAATTAACAATGCAATAAACGTTAATTACCAATAATTACTAATGCAACTTCTCCAATACTCTTCAAATATGAGTATGATTGTCATTTGAATCTGTTACAAAAAAAATATTAATTAATTGAGGGTGATGGGTTAGGAGGTGGGAGAGAGAGAGAGAGAGAGAGAGAGAGAGAGAGAGAGAGAGAGATACAATTATGAATTCATTAACAATTGAAATGATGGATTTAAAAAAGGGGTCAGTTTAGGAACCTTTTGATTTGCATTCTTCAGTATTCAGTACATTCCTCAAAGTTGGGCAATTCCTCTTAACTTTACACTTGATACATTTCCTATCATCTTTTGTGTATTCTCCAAGAAGAATTTCAACCGATGCTTAGGAAGCTTCCCTTTCGTCTTCACTGGTAGGGGGTCAAGCACTCTCCTATTGTTTATTAAATTCACTTCTTCACTTACATTTACATTTAATTGCAAAAATTCAGAATCTTTCGGGCTGCCTTGTTGACGTGTTTAATCGATATTTTCATTGACAATTGCAACTTTCTTCAATGCATTGCTTCTTGAAATGTTTCTTTATACATAGCTCCATTCTCTGCAAAGTTTATCGCCCTTCAACACAATTCATTGTATTGTACAGTCGAGGATTCATGCAAACCAACTTGCATTGGATGACCATGTCCATCTATTACACATCCTTCCTTGGCATTTTTTGTCCATCACTTCAAAATGTAACAAGGTGGGATTTTAAAAAAAAAATTCATTCTAAGAAAAATTAAAATGTATCTACAAAGTAATCCAGTGATGTCAAACAATTGGCAACTACAAGTTGCTTTGATTTCAGGTACATTCAATGCAGCAATGAATACCCTTTTCTCTTCGTCATATTTTGACAATTTAAATACCATGATTTCTCCATCATTCTCTGATTCTATCACAATATACTCAATACTGCGACAAAATTCCTATTGGAAATTTCAAACATTTGCGACGAAATTCCTATTGGAAATTTTCAAACATTGCTTTGGTATAAATGCATGCTGCTTCTTTCTCCATTGGAAAATAAGTCTTCAAAACCCGATGTTTGTGAATTGTTTCAAAGTTCACATCTCTCTCCTTTCTAAACCGACAATCTAATGTAAGTGCATAATTCTCAACAAATTTTTTTAGAGTGCTTTTTGCATTTATATAGCCATCAAACAATGAATTCATACTTTCATTATATTGGGTTGTAGAAATCTCTGCAAAAAAGATGTTGTGCATGAATGCCGGAACCCATTGCTCCGAATGCCATACATTTTGATTAGGCATTTATTCTCTCTTAAATTGTAGCGATCAATGATTGTTTGCCAATGTTATTCAAACTCTTATATTGTCTCGGAATTATGGATGCACTTGTGAAAATTATCACTAGAACTTTTTCCATGCTCTGCATATACATAAGACAACTTCTCTAGTACTTTCTTCAAAATGTGCCAAAAGCAAAGACGATGGTGAGTATTTGGAAATACTCGTCTGATGGCTGCTCCCATAGCAAGATCTAGATCAGTAATTATTGAACTTGGATGATGGCCAGACATTGCTTGAAGCCATGTCTTAAAAAGCCAAACAATGACTCTTTACTAGTAAAGCACCTCCAAATAACACAGATTGACGATGATGATTTACTCCTGTAAATGGCGCAAAACGTATTCGATACTTGTTTGTTAAATAAGTTGTGTCAAACACAACAACATCCTCAAAAAATTGATGGTTCATCCTTGATCTAGCATCGACTCAAAATATTCTAGTCAAATGTCCATTATCATCTACTTGCATCGCATAGAAAAATGCAAGATTATCAAATTGCATATTTCTAAAGTATTTAAGGACAAATTGAACGTCTCCTTTTTCAAATCTCTTTTGCCGACTTTTGGCAATGTATTTCGACAATAACGATCAGTGAATGCAAGATTGTCACTTCCACCCGTTTCTTTGCTAAGCACAAACATTATAAGGTGCAGACGTAATCCTGCACTGGTGTGTGTGTCTATAATGTGTTGTGTCGTGTTGGTCATCTTCTTCTGTGATTGTAGATATTGAACTTCTCCTGGCTTCACTAGAAAATGGTTGTGATTTTTTATAAACTTCCTAATGATCCATTTTCCACTATCAACTTTCTTCACCATCATCATTGCCTTAACACCTTTCTCTAGGAATTGCAATTGGTTTTTTAACTCTATTTTCATTTTTCATATATTTCTTCTCTCAAAATCCTTGTTTTGAACAAACAAATCTTCTAGCATTAGCAATTCCATCATGCGTATGATAAAGGCTATTGGCATGCATGCTAAAGCCTACCCGCCTAGCGTATTCATTATAGAACTCCTTCGCAGATTCCCGAGATTCAAATTCCATTCCTTCAAATGGTTCAAACTTCAAATTTTCTTCATAGTCAATTACAACTTTTACCATAGAATTTTCTATCATTCTAGCATCATCATTGACATAATGAGAAGCTTCCACCATATTTCTCACCTACAATAGGAGTAATGGCCCAAGAATTCAATTCACTGTAACTGAAAACATCATTGGTGAGGGCATGACTCTGATCTTTGTCAATATCCATGACAATATGTGTGCAATAATAACCTATGCAAAAAACATCATTCCCATGAGGACTTTGCAATTTTTAAATTTTCTGAACACAATAAAAAATTCCCAAGAAAATAATGGGGAGCTTAAAAAATTTAGGAGTTTCGCAATGATGGGAGAAAATAAAACAAATTAACTTTATGCATAAACCATAAAAGAAATTCACCAAAAAGTTTACAAATATCCAATAAATGCATTGAAGGATCCAAAATATAACTTGGTAGAACTACCAATTTGTCATGATATTAATGAAAAATTGCTAAAAAATAACATTTAAATTCCATTGCAGCAATATTTTTAGGTTAAACTCGCCAAGAACATTGTACAAGTTCTTGGAAATCTCTAAGCCTTGACACAAAAACATTCAATAAACATTAAAAAATCACACTTCTAAAAATTTTTGGTGATAACTCATAATTTCTTGGGATTTTTCTGAAAAATCCTCTCAAAATCGTGATTTTCCAATGCGGCAAGTTTTTAGCTTAAATTTAAAAGAAATCAACTCGTAGTTCCATCCCATTAAAAAAACTCATTTTTCAAAAGAAACTCAAACAAAGTAATCAAAAAAAAAGAAAAGGGCCTAACAATGCATGCAAACCGCAAAGCATCAAACTCTAAACCTAGAATAAAGAAACAGAACATGGCTCACTAGCCTTCTCTACATAAAGAAATCAAATCAAAGAACAAATGCCCGCCATCTGCATTATTTATTGATTCAAGAATAACTAAAACACAAGAAAACTGCAGAAAACTCGCATCTTCTACAAAAGCCCTAATTTGGCTATACACTGAAATCCCACGAAATGCCCACCATAAGAGTTTACGGAACTTCTGAGTTTGCTGGGACTATCACACCTTCTACAATGAGTGGAAAAATCATGCCTTTTGAGTTTAATTTGGTTATTTGGAACTTTTGAGTTCGCTGGAAAAATCGTACCTTCTACAATGAGTGGAAAAGTCACGCCTTCTGAGTTTGGAACTTCTGACTTTGCTTGATTATTTGGAACTTCTAGTTTTGGGAGCAATGAGAGAGATGGAGGAAGAAAATGAGTGAGGAAAGAAGTGAGAAACAGAGGATTAGCGGAGAAGGGTAGAGATAGAAGAGGAGACAGCAAGAGAGAGGCAACAGAGAGGAGAGAAGAGCGGGAAATAGAGGTGCACAAATGAGATTTGGGGCATTAATCTCAACCGTTGGATTCAACAGAATCCAATGGCAAAAAATTGGCCAATATACCGTCTCATTATATTAAGATACAATGATTGCATTGTATCATTTCTCTCTTAGATAACTCCATCTTTAGGATGGACGTTTGTAGGTCAGCGGGTTCTTGCTGATTCATCAAACCATTTTCCTAGATTCTTTAACACCAAAGAGCGATAAATTAACTTTCGAAGGAGTCCGAGAGAGAGAAAGAGAGAGAGAGAGAGAGAGAGAGAGAGAGAGAGCGT